ATCACGAATTATTGAGTTTCCCAGTGCGTATCAGCTATGTTTACACTATACTGTAGCTGACCCAGTGTGCAATAAATCGCATTGTGAAAAAGTTTGAAATATTGTAATAATTACTAAAATGTGAGACAGAGATACAAAGCCAACACATGTTTTTTGGAAAAATTGCACTGATAAACTTGCTTGATCCAGACTTGCTGCCAGTTTTCAATTCATGAACAACCCAATGTCTTTAAGCATAATTAAGGAAAGCTCAGCAAGATGAGATAACGCTTGTTCCAAATTCCCCAAAACTTCCAGTCTATTTTTGGATTTTTCTATTCTGTTCCTGTAGCATTTCTTTCGGATGTTCAATTAGAACCTAAAGAACTATACATTAAGCTTCATATAAAGAGTTACTAATTACAACAAAAGAATCACTACAGGTCTAAGGAATTCCAGTCTGATACTTGTCACGCCTGTCTGGCAGGTTGTGTTGGCTTGCGTGTTGCTATGAGGCTGCAAGCTCAAATACAACCAGGGTCATCCGTGATGACTATGTCTCCATGGGGCTTCCAGACAAGGCAGCCTCGGAATAAAACTTATTGATCCATTTCTAAAAATTACCCCATGACAACTCTATGAGTCACAACAGCATATTATGTGATACAGTACAGGAAGATGAGCCCCCTAAGTTGGAGGGCAGTAATGGACCCAAGCATGCCAGCAATGGTGGGTGTGGTGAAGGACCAGGCAGCCTTGTTTCTGCGGTACCTGAAGTCCTTCAGTGGGGAGCTGATTTGGTGGTAACAACAGCAGGTGATACTCGGTGATGGCGGAAAAGTACTTAAGGAAGGGTACATTTTGAAGAGGTTCAAACCTCTTCAGATAGCGAGGATGCCTGAGGATTTGGTACAAGCTGGTCTGGTGTTGTTGGGTGAACAACACACACCGCCCTGGCGGGCAGGTGAAAGGAGCTGGCCATTAGCCGCTTGGTGGTAGTGCAGTGCCAGGCCAGGTGCTGGCAGCGTAAGAGGCCTTTAGAATATGCTGGTCATCTGGGCTGCAGGGCTGACTTCTCTGTGTGCTAGTCACCCTCACGCCACCGTCCAGACAGGTGACTGTGGAAAGGTTCTTGTCTACTCAAGGCTGTGAGAT